CATTCGTAAAAATATTTTTAAAAAATCCTGTCCCACTCATGAAATGAATTCCATATTCAACTACAAAACACTGAATATCCTCTATATATTGTATTTGATAACATGACACCAAACACAAACAAGAGGCCCACGGGCCTTATAGGTCACCTGAGTATCGTGCAACAACTTTCAAACAAATAACTTTGGTTCGTGTTTTAAACAAGAGGCCATGAAATTTACAATTCATAATTTTGAAAGAGGCACCGTTGCTTATCATAATTATAAATTTAGCATTGCTTACTCTATTAATTAATACCCAGAGGTTGATCAGAGTAACAAAGAGAAAATGCACTTCCACTTTATAACCAGTTTTGCACCTCACCCCAAAGGAACCATGGACCCTGGGGCCATATATTTCAAAATTTTGCAAATTTTATCATAAAATGGTTGATTAATACCAAAGAGCAGATTTCAAAGCATTAATTTATTTTCAGACTATGTAACACCCCCCCCCCCCCCCCCCCGCCCCACCCCAGGGATGGGAGGGGCATAAAAAATAATCATTTTGCTAGATGCACCTTTCTTCATTATAAATATATATACTTGGATCATTGGCATAAAACCCAGGAGCAAAGGAAAAGATTTTCAAAGAATTAATGTATTTTCACTATATAATCTATATATAGCCTCTCCCTAGCACTGGAACCCCTGATCCTGGGGCCATAAAATTCAAAATTTTGGAAGAGGCACTCTTGCTCATCATACTGTAAAAGCACAAATATTTGTGGGGGATTAAATTTCGTTTATTTCGTTGTTAACAATATTCAACGAAATTAAATCCCACACGAAATTTTATATGGCTATATATTGAATAGGGTTACTTTCAAAACAATGAAATTAAATGCCCACGAAACTATTTTTGATGAGAAAACAACGAAATTTTGTGCCCACGAAAATTTGTGCTTCTACAGTAACTATGTGCTTAGTTAGTTAATTTAATACCCAGAAGTGGAGAAGAAGATTTTCAAAGAATAAATGCATTTTTACTATATAATCAATAGAGTCCCACCCTAGCACCAGAACCCCTGACCCCGGGGTCATAAATTTACAATATTGGAAGAGGCACTCTTGCTCATCATAACTATGTACTTAGTTAGTTAATTTAATACCCAGAAGTGGAGAAGAAGATTTACAAAGAATAAATGCATTTTCACCATATAATCAATAGAGCCCCGCCCAAACACCAGAACCCCTGTCCCTGGGGCCATAAAATTCACAGTTTTGGAAGAGGCACTCTTGCTCATCATAACTATGTACTACGTTAGTTTATTTAATACCCAGGAGCAGAGAAGATTTTTAAAGAAATAATGCATTTTCACTATATAATCTATATAGCCCCGCCCTAGCACTAGAACCCCTGACCCTGGGGCCATGAATTTCATAATTTTGGTAGAGGACTCAATGCTCAATACATTCATGCCAACAGTTTGCCTGCTTGATGTCCAGGAGTAAAGGAGAAGATTTTTAAAGATTGCAATAATTTTGGTGGTTTTGGCCCCACCCCCCAGGCCCCAGGGGGGCAGGGACCATGAAATTCAAAATTTATGTTCCCCTTCACCCATAGATGCTGTATACCAAATTTGGCTGAAATTGGTTTGGTGGTTTCAGAGAAGAAGCTGAAAATGTTCAAATGTTAACACACGACGGACGACGACGGACGAAAACAGATAGCAATAGGTCACCTGAGTTACTCAGGTGACCTAAAGATAGGGACACTGCGGCATTACTTTTGGATCAACCCTCTTACTTAATTTCCTATGTAAGGAAAATTTACTGTCATAGAAGAAGGGGGTGCAGGTCTGGTGCTATTTCTTTAAGGGGTCGATTAGTATACAGTTATGGAATGGGTACGAGGGAAATAGCAAATTTATGGTTCCCCGAGGGAGGAAACTATTTCCCAAGGTGGCAAAGCCGCCGAGGGGAACCAAAAATTTGCTATTTCCCGAGTTCCCATTCCATAACTATTTTATTATACCGAAACAATCATAGGCGATTTAATTTTTTTCTGCCAGATATTCCGACACAAAAAAAACACTGTAGAGGCATAATTACAAATGCATGCGGTTTAACAGATTGTATGGTAAGTAATGCATCGTGTCCTAACACAAATAAATTTTTTTTAAAAAGTATTTTCACTGAAATTTCGAAGAATCGTCGTTGTCTTCATTTTGCTAGAATTCAAGTATGATTTTGACATCGCATGTCGAAATGTTTTGACGTCATAGTTACATTGCTAATAACATGACGTCACAGACTCGAGATTCCTTGAACGCTCCGCCCACTGAACACTTTGATTGGTTAAAATTACTAATAAATATTCATGAGGTAGTAGTCCCAGGGAGTAGCTCTGATTTTCCAGGGAGTAGTCTTCAGATGAGCACAATAATAAGTTTCTTCTCAGGGAAATAGACAGTTTTATGGTATTAATTTTATATAGAGTAATTACAGTAGAGGTATAATAATATCCAATATATCATTATCAAGATGTCTTAAACATATGAAATTTACTTTATTTTAATGTGAATGCTATCATTTTCCTATTTAATATTTAAACAATATCTGTCCTTTATAATTTTTTACTTCATATATTTTTCTTTTAATCTCTAAAAGTTTCAAGTGTTTCACATTACTGCATGATCCATAAATAGATTTAAAACATATATTTTTATGCCCCGCCATGAATATGGCCGGGACATATAGTGTTTGTCATGTCCGTCATCCATCCTTCTGTCCTTCCATCTGTCCTTCCGTCACACTTTGCATTTAGCTCTGATCAAAGCTCAGTTTCAAAGAAACTATCCAAGATATTTTCATCAAACTTCATATGCTGATAGATATTGATGAGAGCTATGCAACTGCATCAACATTTTTTGACCTTGGCCTTTCCTTTGACCTTGACCTCACTTTTCTTAAATCAGTGTTTAGCTCAGTTTTAAACATACCATTCAAAATGGTGTTATCAAACTTCTCATGTTGATACAAACTTGCACAGATGATGCATCTAGCGATGAACACTACCAGACTTCGGATGCTGGATCTGACCTACATTTTTCAGATGAGTGACCAGATTAAAGTTTTTGGAGCAGTTCCATTCCTAATGAACTATAAGCCCTACTTGGACCAAACTTGCATGGATGATGCATCTAAGGATGGACACTACCAGACTTGCTTCGTGCGCTGGATCTGACCTACATTTTACAGATAAGTGACCAGATTAAAGTTTTTGGAGCAGGTCCATTTCCAAGTAACTATAAGCCCTACCCAAACCAAACTTGCATGGATGATGCATCTAGGGATGAACACTACCAGACTAGTTTAGTATGCTGGATCTGACCTACATTTTCCAGATGAGTGACCAGGTTAAAGTTTTTGGAGCAGGTCCATTCCTAAGGAACTATAAGCCCTACTTGGACCAAGCTTGCACAGATGATGTATCTAGGGATGGACACTACCAGACTTGCTTCGGATGCTGGATCTGACCTATATTTTCATTCCCAAGTAACTATAAGCCCTACCTGAACCAAACTTGTATGGATGATGCATCTAGGGATGGACACTACCATACTTGCTTCGGATGTTTGATCTGACCTACATTTTCATTCCCAAGTAACTATAAGCCCTACCTGAACCAAACTTGCATGAATGATGCATCTAGGGATGGACACTACCAGACTTGCTTCGGATGCTGGATCTGACCTACATTTTCATTCCCTAGTAACCATAAGCCCTGCCTGAACCAAACTTGCACAGATGATGCATCTAGGGATGGACACTACCAGACTTGCTTCGGATGCTGGATCTGACATATACTTTCATTCCCAAGTAACTATAAGCCCTACCTGAACAAAACTTGCACAGATGATGCATCTAGGGATGGACACTACCAGACTTGCTTCGGATGCTGGATCTGACCTATATTTTCCAAACAAGAGACCAGATTAACTGGGTTCGACATCAACGGTTGACCGGCGGCCCAAGCCCACCAAAAATTGGAAGGTCCACCAAATGTTCTGGACTAGGTGGACCGTTGGTCCACTTAAAATTTAAGCACTGTTTTAAAAAACAGTAAAATTCTGTTTTTTTCTTCTTTAAATTGACATTCGTTACTCAAATTGTTAAGTCCTCCATACATGTTCCTGTATTTTACAAAAAATTAATTTATAAAATTTGTTTTAGGTAATCAAGGAAACCTAGCAAGTAGATATATTTTACATGTAAAATTTATGACTCCAAGAAAATTGAGATGTTAGAACATTCAACAAGGACCTTGAAAAAAGAAGCATGTAAAATTTGTGCCTGGGTTAGCCAGTCTCTCCTCTGTTTACATAATGCACAGAAAGGTGTGAAAATTACACTTGGTAACAGGAAATAGCTTCACGCCTGAACGCACACTGTTGACCAGGTTTGGAGATAATTAGAATTAATTGACAGCTGCATTAATTTATGCATTGTTTATTTTTGTTTATTGATTTTCAAACAGCCGTGATTTATTTATTTGATTCTACTGACGTAAACAACCCACAGAATCACAGTGAGTCAATCCCCTCAAGACATATAGATATCTAACATGCACACTGTAAAAATGCTTTGATACATTTATAATGAAAACAATTATCTTCTGGGGAAAATTAGGCTTTCTATTTTTTATATTATTTTCTTATCAATGAAAAGATTTACAGAATTTTTGTGCCCTAAAACTAGAATATGTGTTTGTAGGGGAGATTTCTTAATGATTGAAAATACTATGCCGGCACTTAAAACTAAAGGGTGCAAAAATTGTAAACTGTGACCTCATCAGCAGATAATTTGACTCATCAACGGTTCATCCCTGGTTTAGATTTTGTTCTTTCTGGTAAAATATATTCTAAGAATTTTCCTCAGAAGCTTTAAAAGGTAGTTAAATAGCAAAATAAATATTCTTACTTAGAATCTTGTATTTCATTTATCTGACACACACGTACCTGTTTCTGTGATTGTGAGCCGTTTGTTGTCACCCAGGTCTACAGGGACGCCATTTTTGAACCACTCAATATCAAACTTGTGTCCATTAGCATCCGCTTGACACTGCATAATGGCAGGTTTCTCTTTCTCAACAGATTTTAGCTCTGGATTTACAATGATTTTGGGATATCCTACTGGAAATTCTGTAAAAATATATATATATGAAAGTAAAGATAGGTTATCTTCGGCCTTATTTATTGATAAATAGTGCAACAAATTCTTTCTCTAAATAAGCTAACCCATATTTCTAGTGTTAAAACATTTCAGTACGTGCGGAATTCCACATTCAACTGAAAAAAAAGTGTCAGACTCCCTCCATCTATGACATTTGTTTGACAACTGAATGTTTAGTATCTCTTAAAAAAAAGATCATTAGTGAATAGAAGTCTATATATTGAGGTATATATACCATTGAATTAATTTTTAAAACAAACTTAGATGAATAGTTCTGCACTCATCAATGATAAAACTCCTGATTAGTTTAAAAATCTTGCTGAAAAATGTTTTCTTAACGTGATAACAAAATGCCAACTTGTAGGAAGAAAATATATTAGGGATGTCAATGAATAGTCGACTATTCGACTATAAGTCGAATGGACCGACTATCGAATAATGAAACGACATTCGAATATTTAAAAAATACAGAAAAAGGAGGTGATAAAGAAATTCTCAACTCAAAATTGATAAAGCGTCATTACTCAAACCATTATAGTATTTGCCCTCAGTCGAATAAGAGCTTAAACATAGTCACGGTATATAATAAATTTCCACATTATACATATGGACAGTACAGTAATTACATACCGCGATAATTATTTCTCAATTACCGACCTTTTTTTATTGTAGTAAATTATGCAGCGCTATACTTGACTTTGAAAATAATTAATTGGACTTGTACCAATTATAGATTTATTAATTGCCTCTAAGAATATTCAGATGCTGTAGGAACACACCAGCACCGTGAAGTTTTGAAACTTCTATAATTATCGAACAATTAATAAACCTACACAGTAAGGAAATTTTGATAGCCGGGCTAATCGTTAATTGAACAAGCAGTATTTTACAACATCCCCTAATGTGTGAATAGTGTGTGTTTACCCCTCCCCTTTTAATAAGCTTTAGAAACACCGTGCTGACAATTCTTTAAGCGTACTAGAACAAAAGAATGTACAGACCAATTTATATGAATACGTGATTTACGAGAATTCATACATTTTGGAAAATTAATTGCTGGTGTAACAACTTATTCCTACTTTACGTTCCTCTGAATATCGGTGTGTAATATGCTTTGTAGGCATTTGATGTTACTTTTTACATAAATTTACGAGAATGGTTTTTGATTTATAAATACGCTATCA